TGTATTGTATTGTATTGTATTGTATTGTATTGTATTGTATTGTATTGTAAATGTATTCTAATTGGCTGTCAGATTCCTGGGTTGGGGGGGGGGTGTCTTAGTAGGCTGTCCTGAGACCCAAGCTTGTTTCCCTTTCTGGATGATGTAATCTTAACAGGTGCCATGTGGTGAGTTTCTGTTTGCTAGATGGGTCTGCCTGAACGGGGTAGATCTTTGTTATGTAGAATAGATTGGCTCAGGCCTTAATGGGCCATTGACAAAGGTGGGGGCAGCTGAGTTTCTGCCTCTGAGTTTCTACTTTTCTTTTTAGGGGAAACATTCTGGGTTTTTTAGTGTATCCCAAACTATTTCACTTCCCTAGGAGAGGGGTGGGTTTTAACTTCCAGCAGTATATAAAGAGAAGTTAACGAATCCTGCTGAATCAGTTACCTGTGTGTGCTTTCTGGAAATGATTTCTGCAACAAACTGACAATTTTTCGGATATCATCTGTAATAAAAAACACACACACACACACACACAAAATTCAGATTTAAAATCTACACGTTTCCCTATTATCATTTCTAACCCTCTGTATTTTTGGCCAAGGTATTCCTCTTTTTTAACAATCCAGTTTTTTACTAAGCTGAAATGGAGCGGCCGCTAGTAAATTATAAGGCTCTCCTGCCCCAACACCAAAGGCCCAGAGGCTCTAAATTTAACCCCCAAACGTGCTTGTCGTTTGGGAATTATTGAGGAAGCCTAAGATGGTTTATTCACCCCCAGACTGGGCCCAGAAAGGTAGTAAATCTCCCCTCCCTTTAAGTGGTAGTGCAAGGTGATAGATGCATTCTACCAGAACATCTTTTTAAACTGTCTCAGATAATAAGGCCATTTAATTTAAATCAGCATTAGCTGTGAAATAGCTCCGGAAACACAAATATTGATAAGTGGACACGAGGGAAAAATACCCAGGGGGAACAAACTATCTGGAGGAATGAGTGTGGCTTCCAAGTGTTCTTTCTTTCTTTCTTTCTTTCTTTCTTTCTTTCTTTCTTTCT